AAACGGTGTCCTGCGATAGATGATTGGCTAAAGAATTGGTGGTACATATATACAATGGAATATTACTCAACCATAAGAAGAGATGAATTATTGCCATTTGCGACAACATGGATGGACCTCGAGATAACCATGCTAAGCGAAATCAGTCAGACAGAAAAAGTCGAAAATCACATGATATCACTTATATGTAGGATAGAAACCTAAAACAAATGAACAGCAGTAAGAAACAGAGACTCATGGATATGGACAATAGATTAGTGATTATCAGAGGGTAGTGGGTAAGGAGGAGAGAAGAAGTTAGATGGGGTAAAGGGGGTCAATTGTGTGACAGAAAGAAATCTAACTATGGGAGGTGAATACATAGTATAAATACATATATCCCTTACTGTTAAAAAGTACCGCTGTAACTTATTTGATTTTGTTAACCAATGTCACCATAAAATAAATAAATAAATTAAGAAATAAATAAAAGGGAAAATATAAATGTATAATAATAGAAGATCAGTTATATTATTTGTAGGATACCTGAAAAATGGAATACTCTATAGTCTTTTAAAATCATGTGGAAGAATATTTAATCTCTTGAAAAGATCATACATAATGTTAAATCCATAGAAAAGCAGGCTTTCATTGAGTATGTATAGGGTGATATATGTTCTCGTTTCTGAAAAGGAAAGTGTATATGCACTGCAAAAGCAACGGGCATCCATCTAAATGTTTTTTTATACTGAATATTATAATACAAACATTTATTCACATCTTTAAAAGTGCTTCACCGAATATGATATTTCATGGTTCGAGAATATTCTGTGCATATTCTCTGGTCTAGATGTATTTATTCATTAGCATTTTGGTTACTTCTAGTTTTTCATTATTATTAATAATAATGTGTAATTATCTGTGTTAAAAATTCTTGTACTTTTCCTATGTCTTCGACCTTTGAAAGAAACCAATTCTGTAATAATAAAATCCTATTACTGTCATGAAATCAATGTCTATTATTAATTATATTCTTTTTAATATTTATTTAATGCTATTTGCCACCTTTTCTGAGAATGTAGTTTGTAATATAACTTATTTTGATTCTAATAAAATCACAGAATTTACCTTTAAGTTCTATACATTACATTTTTCAAAATTCATTGAGTATTTAACTATCTGCATTTATTTTATAACTTATATTATGAAAAGCTTTTAATAGATTCAGTTAGGTCTTTTGTCCCTAGAACACTTTAAAGCTCCTTAAAGATAGGACTAATTTTATTCCTTTAGGACCATAGATATCTGGCTTTTTCTATCATGTCCTTTGCCTAGTCTTCTCTTTGGGGAAATTCTAGGTTGTTGGCTGGTAAAATAAAGAATTCTGAGATATTAGGAATATATGAACACAAGGTAATTTTCTATCTTTTTCTAAACAAGATATACAAGATATATATTTCCTGGTTTTAAAGGAAGTAATCCCTAGAATATCCATCCTATCATGATTCAAACTAAAGCACAATGATATATTCAAAGACTAATATTGATTATTCTTTCAGTTATTATTTATAAAGTGCTTTTCAGAAACACAAATTAAATTTGCAATGTGGTTACAGCTATTTAAATACCTTTTTTAAAACCTAAACCTAGAAAAAAATGCATTAAAATGAAACTAGTGACTATCTTTTGAGGAGGAGAAATATGAAAGATACTCATTCTCTTACCTGTTTATTTTATGAATTTTCCACCTTTTATATAATGTGTATCTATTTTTCATGTATAAAAATATATTTATCTTTTAAAAAGTCAACAGGGCAAGGAAAACAAAAATATTATTACACTAGCTTCCTTGACTTTCCTTCCCTCAGATGTTGTTCTTCTCATTTCTTTTCACACTAAAACTCCCAGAGTAAATCAAATAAAGGATTAGGAATGACCTGACCCTCCAGAGAGAATTACTTTTAGATCTCCCTCCATTTTAATCCTAGATTATTTCTTTCAAATTGGCAGTAATAACAACTGCAATTGCAGCCGTATTTTTATGTTTAATATTGGCTGTCTGGCTAGGCCAACATTAAGTTTTTAGTTATTTATTACTCTCTTAACCTTATACTGCCCCAATTCACCTATAAAACAAGGAATAAAAGAAACAGGATATTAGGAAACAGCAAAAGGATGTTTTCACTTTGAAGTAATATTTTAAACAATGTTTGGATATTTGCTTTAGATAGATGTCACAAATTGTTTCTGCAAAGGAATCACAAGTCAGCAATTTCTATCCCTTCAGTTATCATGAAGAATCTTACGAAACTATGTCACTTCAACATATATATTACATTATTTGCTGGCTAAATGATGGAGACTGTCACAAAAGTTCTGTCAGGTTGTTATGGCTGCAGACATTGTCAGTAACTGTTATGTATGTTAGGCGTGATTCTACAAAAGTCCAGAGTCAAGGTATACTAGAGTAAAGAGATGCCCTTTGTTGAGTCAACTTGTCAGTTGACTAATTGAATAAGGTATAATGTGGTTTGAAGTTGTATCATTTAGTGAGCTGTGTACTACATATTACTAACCTCTCTGAGCCTGTTTTGGAGCTTGTGACTGGGGAAAAATAATAACTTTTATAGTTTTACGATAATTCAATAACGCAACAGGTGTAAAAACCTTCGAGTGTTAAAGAGTTCAGTATTATTTATTCCACTCATTGTCAGCACTACCAGGTAGCAAATTCTGCCTCAGACATGACCAGATTAATAACACAGAAACTTTATGTCAAAGTCAAAGGGATGATTGGTCCTTATTAAAGATATCCCAAAGTATGTATTACTACTGGTGAATTTTCAGGTGTGTTAAATATAACTGAGTCATTGGAATTATGTGAAATTATTCACTTGCTGGTGTGCCTGCAGATAGGATATAACCTCCCACCATTTACCTGACAACTCCAAGCAAAAGGTCACCTATCTCTGCTCTATTAATTGTTTTTCCTCCTATTTATCCTTTGAACTTGTTTTCCATTAGGCAGTAAAATAATTGAGTAGATAGCTGTGACTAATTCTGTGTTTTGTACAGTTCCTAGTATATTCTTTGTGCATTATAGATAATTTTGTAATAATGCTTAATTGATTTTCCTTATTAACCATTCATTAAATCATCCAACAAGTAATTACTGAGTGCTTACTATGTCCCAGGCACTTTTATTAAAGGGGACACTATGGTGGGCAAGAAAGTTAAGATCCCTATTTTCATTGGTTGATATCCTAGAAGGGGAGACAGCAATAAAAAATAATAAAACAATAATTAAGATAATTTAAGATAGTGAAAAGAATTCTAATGATACTATATTATGATAAAATGATAGAGAATGATAGGGTGCTGGGAATGTGGAAGCCAGTGCTCATTTTCATAGACATATAAAAGTTCATCTTTCTGAGGAGAAATTAGGATAAGTAGAGAGAGTATAAGATGAGATAGAGAAGGTAGGCATGGGCTATATCACTTAGGACTTTGGAGGCCATGGTAAAGGATCGGAATCTTATTCTGATTTTGATAGGATGACATTGGAGGGTTTTAAGCAAGGGAATGACATGACTTAATTTACATTTTAGAAAGAGCACCATGTAGGGGAGAGAGGTAAAAACCTTCTGGCTTCAAGTGTAGCGAATAGATACCAGGTGAAGACAAGTGGAGGCAGAGACTGGTCTAGAGGAGATAATTGCAATACCCTTGGCAAGAGATGATGCTAAATCGGCAGTGATGAAGGTAGAGTGATGCAGTGAAAGACAATAGGACTTCCTGATGGATTGGATGCAGGAAGAGTAATGGAAAGATAGAAATTAAGGCTGATTTCTAGAGTGTTGGCCTTAGCAATTGGGTGAATGCCTTTTACCCAATGAGGATCACTGGAAGAGTAGCAAGTGTGTAGAGAGAAATCATGACAGCATAGACTATGGAATATAAGCTGAATTTGAATTAGGTATTTTGGTTAAGGGGAAAATAAATCTCATAGTCTCCAAATCTCTGATGTCATGTTTTATAATACAGGAGTCTAGGGACAATTTTCTCTGACTTGTCAAGTTGTGCCAAACTTAGCCAAGTAAATTTATTGCTTGAATAATTTCCAGAGAATGAAGATGATGCTCTGTTGCATTTGGCAATTTTGCTCTTGTTTCTTCCTGAACAGATCTGCAAAGAAGCTTGCTACTTTCTTTGTGAACGTGTGTGTCAGTGCGGAGACCCATGAGGTCTCTGCTCTCTGGTTCCTGTGGTATGTGAAGCAGTGTGGGGGCACAATTAGGATCATCTCAACAACCAATGGAGGGCAGGTACCCATCTATATCCCCACCATTTCAACAGAAAACCACCACTGCTTAAATGAAAGATTGGCATCATCCTTTAATCATGAGCAGATAGAGCAGAAGGCAGGCTTGTGAATTTTACAGCTTTATCATGAGAGCTCAAAGTAACTTGTGAGGGGACAGCCTGTTGTTAGGTACCCAATATAATTTTAAGATTAGGCTTGTTTCTTTTTATGTACTTTTGCAATTTTTCAATTGGATATACATTTTGTTATTATTTGATAAGTTTGTAGGAGACCATTTGATGGACATAACTTGAACACTTCTTGGAAAACTCAATGAGGAAAGTCAGCTGTGTGTTTTTAATTTAAAACACACAGCAAATGGAATTCATTCATTCATTCATTCATTCATTCATTCATTCATTGCCTATTTTCTGGGTTCCAGCATTGTATAAGGCACTATGCTAGTCACAGTAGGAAATAGATTAGACTTCTTATATAACCTGCTTGTTAGTCATTTTCTTTTCCTCTCCTTCTTAACCCCCTTCCTCCTCCTCATTTCCCTTTTTTTCTCCTTCTCCCCTCCTCTTCTTCTCCTTCTTTTCTTCCTTCTTCTTCCTAAATCCATTTGAAATAGTCTTTTAAAAATTAACTGAAAATTTAGGAAGAGGCAGTCAGCTCAAATGTGTGCACAACCATGAAGAATCTTTCGAAGGTTTAGCAGGGCTTAGGTGGGTTAGTGCAGTGAGGTAAAATGACCTCAGTGGCCATGGAAGCAGCAGGCATCTGACCCAAGTTAAGATGGGCAGCCTGTAATAATAGAGAGTAGGCTGGCCCAGGGATGGATGGGCCAGGGAGGTTCTGGGCCTGAGTAATAAGGATGGGGAAAACAGGCTCAGATGAGTGGTGGCCCAGCTGTAGGTAGCTTCACCAGACCCAGCAACACAACAAGGGGATACAGATAGGGCATAGAGCAGGGGTAGTGATTAGACAGGTGGGATATGGGGTCAGATTGAGGTGGTCCAGCTAAGGTTGGAGCCTGGGAATCTGCAAAAGCATAGACTTGGAGGTGACTGTTATAAAACCTGTAATTTTGTCAAAAGCCAGCAATCACTAGTAAGAAAACAATGGTTAAAAGCACTGTTCACAACAGCAAAATGAAATTTTATTTATTTCACATAAAGATCTGTGAGGGAAGTTATTAATAATTTGTACACATTCCTATATTTCCTATCTACCTCTTGTGTACTTTTATTTTCCAGGAAAGGAAGTTTGTGGGTGGATCTAGTCAAGTGAGTGAGCGGATAATGGATCTCCTTGGGGACCGAGTGAAACTAGAGAGGCCTGTGACCCACATTGACCAGACAGGAGAAGATGTCCTTGTGGAGACCTTAAATCATGAGGTGTATGAGGTAACCAAGAGCTTTAAATTAGAAGGAAGAGGCAAGAGTCTCATAGATGACCAAAGCTTAAATAAAGCCAAGAATATTCCAGATTTCATAGATAATCCTTTGTCAAAAGCGAAAAGGCTAACTCTATTTGAAAGAAAGTAAAAGAGAACCAGAATATTGGCGGGGCAGGGGGGGCGGGGCGGGGATTTTTAAAAACATATATTATTAACTATCTGTATTGCACTTTTATATAATTAGAAAAACAAAGAAAAATTTATTTGATAAATATTAAGTGCCTCCTATGTGCCTGGCACTGTTCTGGGAGTTGGGAACATAACGGTGAACAACATTTTCTGCCTTCATCTGGCTTACATTCTACTGAAGGAGCAAGGCCATAACCAAATACATAGTTAAAATATAAAGTATGCTAGATAGTAATAAGTACTGTGGGAAGAAATCAAGCAGAGAAGGAGAAGGGGGCGTGCCAGAGGTGGTTTGAGATGACTGGTTATGCAATTTTAAATATGTCATCAAGGAAGGCTTCACTTAGAAGGTGATGTTTGAGCATAGCACCAAAAAAGATGAGGGATTGAGCCATGTGGCTCTCTGAGGGAGAAGCATTTTTGGTAGACAGAATGGCTAGTGCAAAATCCCTGAGGCAGAGACAATCTTGGCATGATGAAGGAACAGCAAGTTAATCAAAATGGCAGAGTTAAGGATTGAGGGGAATAGTAATTAAAGATAAGATAAAAGATGTAACAGGGGTCTATTTCATGTATGGTCTTGAAGTGACTGTGAGGAACTTGGTTCTGATTCTACATAGGATGTGAAATCATTGGAGGTTCTGACCTAGGGAATAAGGGCTTGTTTTGGTTTTAACAAGATCCTTCCAGTTTCTCTGTTAAGAAGAGACTGAAGAAGGGGGCAAAAGTAGAATGAAGGAGAAACATTAAGAAATAAGCAAAAACAGGGAAGAGGGGGAAAATGGCATAGACGATAGAAGCTTTATTCATCTCTCTCACAACCACATCAAAGTTGGGACAGAAACACGGCACAAACAGCAAAGAAAGTCACCTGGGATCTAGATGAACAGAAGCACTACAACTAGGGAGAGAAGTAATCAGCCTGCAATGGTAGAAGGTAGGAGTGGGTGAAGATGCAAGGCTGACCAGTCCCCAGCGGCTGAGTGGTAAAGGGGCTGTGTCCGTGACTGGACTTTAGTGGTGATGGACCTGTTTGCTCTGAGCACCAGCTCTGGGTCAGCTGCACAGGGGGAACCACGGACTTACAGGAGGACATTGAGTTGTCAGAGTGAGGGCCAAAGGTGAGGCTCTCTCCAGGACTGAAGTGATGGTGGTATCCATTGCTCTTCTGTTGAGCCCTCTCCCTTCCCAGTGTACAGAGACAGCGCCCCCATAGCTGAGACTTCATCAAACTGGATAACAGAGGTCGTTCCACCCAGAGGATTCCCTGAGACTCCGCCTCTCCCAACTAGCAGCTCCACCCAAGCCACATCCAGTTGTGTTCTCCGCGAGTCTGGTGCTCCTTGCTGAGTAGCGCTAAGACTCAACACTGGTGGCAGCTGACCTCAGCTCTGGTGTGGTTTCCAGAGGCACTTATAAGCACAGCATCTGCAGATTGCTTGCTGAATTTTAATAGGTGGCCCCAGAGGGGTACAGGCTGGGGTTTAACTTGGCCTGCAGCTGAACCCCTCTCAGGACTGTGCCACTAGACACCTACTAAACAAAGCCATGCTAATAAGACCGGGAGACTTAGGAGCTTTGCTTAGTACATAGAAATAGACACAGAAAGGCAGCCAAAATGGTAAGACAAAGAAGTAGAAACCATATGAGAGAAGAGAACAGAGATTCAGATATAATGGAGTCAAGTAATCTAACAGATGCAGGGTTCAAAACACTGCTTGTAAAGATGCTCAATGAACTTATGGGAAGTATAGATGAATTCAGTGAGAACTTCAACAAAGAAATAAAAAACATAAAAATGGAAATGGAAATTATAAAAGAGAAGCTGTCTGAAATGAAGAACACATTATCTGAGATAAGTATATTAAATGGAATAAACAAAGGAATAACCAAAGTGAATAAAGAAGAGGATCAAATGCCCTATCTAGAGAACAAGAAAGCCAAGGACACTCGATCACAATGGCAAGAACAACAAAAACAGAAACAAACTCATAGATACAGGGAATATTTTGAGGTCTACTAGATGGGAGGATGGTTGGAGGGGATGGTAACAGTGAAAAATGGCAAAGGAATTAAGAAATACAAATGGATAGTTACAAAATAGACATGCAGATATAAAGTATACCATAAGAAAAATAATAATGTCGTAATATGTAAGGGGAAGAGGGGTACTAGATTTAGTGGGGTGATCACTTTGTGAGTTACATAGATCTTTAATCACTATGTACAACTGATCAGCTGTACAACTGAAATTAATATATTATTGTATGCCAAATATAATTGAAAAAAAAACTTATTGAATTGTACAATGTAAATATGAGCAACTAATTGTCTATTATATTTTAATAAAGACGAAAAGAAATAGAACTAAAAAAAGAAAGAAAAAAGAAGCAAAACAACCCACCAACAATGTTTAACTGTGTTGTTTTCTTTTAGGCTAAGTATGTGATTAGTGCTATTCCTCCTACTTTGGGCATGAAGATTCATTTCAATCCCCCTCTGCCAATGATGAGAAACCAGCTGATCACTCGTGTGCCTTTGGGTTCAGTCATCAAGTGTGTTGTTTACTATAAAGAGCCCTTTTGGAAGAAAAAGAGTGAGTACTTTCCTTAAATAAAGACCTTCAGGAGAAGGTCTAAGAAACTTGGTATAAATACATACATTTGCATGTAACTGTTTTAATTAGAATGCTGGACATAAAACGTTTAGTCCAGGTTCTAAGTACTTTTCTATCAAATAAAATATATTGACACAAACTCATGAAATTTCCTTTCCTTGGGATATGACCAACTTTTTATAGTTCAATATAAAGTTTATTAATCTTTCCACAAAATCATGTGAATATAGCTTATTAACATTTTCTAATACAACTTTTAAAAGTATACATTTTTAGAGCCATTCACAAAGGTGAAGTTTGAAAATTTCCAGGCTATTTCTCATGTGTGTCGAGATTCTACTATATTAAATTAAATCAATTTGTTCATCATACATATTCAACAAGTGTGCTACTTTACTGTGTAGAATAGTATCTTTCTGTTTCTACCCTTTTTTCAGCTACCTCATAGCCTCCTAATTCTCTACCTTTGTAAGAAATCCTATTTAGAACTATTATTAAATTGGTGTATCAGTTCAGAAAGTAATTTACCTTTTGCAAAGGACAGTGTAGTGACTCACCATGAAGAGCCTACCGCTGCTAAACTGTTTCCTCTCATCACCCAGGTCCTGCATTTTAGGTAGCTGGCTGATGACAAGTAGATCAGGTTAAGGATCATGGAATAGAGATTTTTCTCCTAATGACTTGAATGCCTTTATTTGTGAAGAGAATCTATAACTTTCCATTCACGTCTGCAAACTTTTATCTTAGACCTGCTACGTGCTAGGGAAGTTCAATGTTGGGTACCAGTATCAAAAAGAAAACCCAAGTTCTCCACCTTTTAGAGGTTGGGTCTGACTGAGTCCTTGTTGGTAATGAACTTTGAGTTACATTTAAAAAAAAATGATTGTAGACATGAAAGTCTCACCAAAACATTTTTAGTTTCCTTTGAGTTACTATATTAATATATTTCTTTAACTGATTACTATTGAGCACCTATTGTACAACAGACATTGGGAATTGGGAATTACCAATTATAATAGGCATTGGGAATTCACATGTTTCCTTGCCCAGAAAACCCAGACTCAGGAGGAAGACAGTCATGTAAACTGATAATTGCATGACAATATATTAAGGTCAGTGTTAGCATTCCCTAGGCTATTGTAGAAACACAAGAGAAGGCTCCAAAACTCACATCCAATGTGATTCCTGTTACATCGATAAGCAATTCAATAACAGTTTCTTTTTCTTTTCTTTTCTTTTTTTTTTTTAGGGGAGGCAACCCTTGGTTGACCTCACAGATTGCAAGGACCTTGTCAGCTTACAATCCCCCCCACTTTTTTTTTAATTTTTTACACCTACAGCACCTGGTTTTCCTAGTTGGTCTCCCATCCAAGTACTAACCAAGCCTAACCCTACTTAGCTTCCGAGATCAGACGGGATTGGGCTTGTTCAGGGTGGCATGGCCATAGTCAATAACAGTTTCTTGAAGGATTCAATAAGGTAATGAAATCTGATGAAATTGACTCTTATAACATAGTCTTTGCATTGTCTTAGAGTGCTAACGTCACTGCCGAAGACACTGTGATTAACAAATAACACAAAAGCTCCGGGAATATTGAGCTAACTGGATAAAAGGGAGAGAATTTAGCAGCCCGAATAGCCTAGCACAATAACTAGCACATATTGGGCACTCAGCAACCAATCATTCAAGATTTTTGTTTGTTTGCTTTGTTTTGTTTCATAAGTGCAGTATGGTTTGGATTATTAAAGAGAAGGTAACTTTTTGCATTTTGATACAGACAGCCCTTGATTGCTTGTAGATTGATTATTCCAGGAAATGCCTCTCAGTCTCTTGGTGCGTAACATCTGTTTGAATTTGCAAGGAGTACCCCCATTCTTTTCTGGCCTTCCACCAGGTCATCCTAAGTCCAGCTACTCTCACTATCTGTATCCTACCCTCCCAGGATCCCTGTGAGAGTTGAACATCACAGCCACTTCAGCCTTTCTCTCTTCTCCGCTTAACTGGAGAGAGCAGGCCGTTACCAATGTCTTGAATCTTTCCAGTCTCCCTCGCTTTTGCTTATCTACATCACTTGCACTTTCTATTAAATCTAATTTATATCAATTCCTGCTTAAAATGACAGAAGCAATACCTGATTTTTAGAAAAATTACAGAAGTAAACTTGTCCACTATAAAACTTTCAAAAAATAAGTTTATGAAAAATATCCTTCTCCTATTACCTCTCCCCTTAGGGAATCACTGTTAAAATTTTAAGTTGTTTATCCTTAGAGAGTTATTGTATGCATAGGTAATACTTTAAGTATATACATACATATATATTGAAATATATATATACTTTATTTTTTTATTTTTCAGTTATAGTTGACATTCGATTTTTTTTCATTACTTTCAGGTGTACAGCAGTGTCTTAATATGTATAACATTTATATGCAAACATAATTTTAAATAAATGTTATATTTTTTCCCCAAACTTTTTTTTTAAAAACATGATACATATTAAACTGAAATTTGTGTTTTCCTGTTAGCAGTTTGCCATAAACATTTCTCTATCAGTGCATTTAAATGTACCTCATTTCAATAACTGAATAAACAGTATTTCACTGTATGACTCTATCAAAATGTACCCAATAGGTCTACTGTTGATAGACATTTGATTATTTCCAAGTTTTTGCTATTACATACTATGCTGCAATAAACAGCTTCATTCATATGGCTCTGCAGATTTGTATAGGAACATTTTGATAAATTTGTAAAAGTGGAATTATAAAGTCAATCGACTTGGGTAGGTCCAGCTAATAATCTTTAAAAAATTTTGCCAATCAGTAGGGGAAAATATCCCATTTATCTGTAATTTGTAAGTTTTATCATTAATAAGGCTTAGGGGCTATATTAAATCATTCCGTAAGTTACCTATTTATCCTTTGCTTGTTAAATTTTTTCTCTATATGTTGCAAATATTTTTTCCCAGTGTATCAGTTTTTAAAAATTTGTTTATGATGGTTTCACCCTACTAAATTCTTATATACATGGGGCTTTTCTGGACTGACAGTTCTATTCTACTGATCTTTGTCACTGTCCTCTAAATATTTTTTATAGCCTTATACATAAAAAATTTTGAACAACAACTACCACTATATATTTTTATAATTATAAAATATATAAAAGTAGACTTTTTTGAAAAACTTAAGTTCTAATATCTTCCTCCACTATCTAGATGTGCAATCTAGATATCCAACACAGGTTTATATTAACTAGTGCTATGACAGCACTGTATTATTCTTTTAATCACTGTGGCTTTATAATATGTTTCATATCTGGTAGGAAATTCTCTCTCTCTTTATTATTTTTCCTGTAATTTTGTCTGTGGTAAATTTGAGTTATTATTCCAGATGAATGTGATCATTTGTTCAGAACTCTTAAACCCCCACACTCATAAAGCTTCTATTGAATTATTTTATTCTTAATATTCCTCGTTCTCACCTCCCATAGTTGCAATGTCTTCATTTTTCTCCCTAGAAATGTTACTTGCCACTTTGGGAGAAATTTCTTCTACTCGTCTTTTTTTACTGAGAGTTCCTTCTTGTTTGTTGTTAGTTTGTTACTACTTTTGTCTTTACTGCTCTTGTAAAAGGACTTTGTTAAATGTCTAGATGTCTTTGAATGCTTCTTCCTTTTTAAGAGTGAGGCAGGACCAAGCTAACTGGAAGTTCTGGACGTCCTGTGTGCATAGGCAGGGCTCAGCTTTCTACCTGCAAATGATAGAACTGCCACTGGTGCCGCATGGTTTGTCCTGGCATGAAGTGAATCTTCTCTCTCCTCCTTGTTCCTTCACTTCTTCCCAGTGCACCTGCATAGCTCAGAGACCAACTTTGCATTGGGAAAGAGGTGTCCAAGGAGTCTCACTACCCGGAAAGCAGGGCCTCCACCATGGATAGTCCGACATCCTCTGCTATCTCTCCATCCAATCCAGTTAACTCCCATATGATAGTGTGTACTTGCTCTTATCACATCCTATCCAGTTTGTCTCCTCTCTTTCTTGTCTTTTGATAACGGATGATTCCTCAGCTATTTCTCTTGTATTCTTAAATCTTCTTGAGTTCTTGTGTAGACTTTAAACATTTCTCTTTCCCACATTTCAGTATTCCTAAATGTTTCTCTGTCCCAGTATACTCAAGGGTCACACAGGCACCCTTCGACTTGGACATTGATTCTCATGGATGCACAGTGGGGAGGGACGTGGGAGGAGAGAGAGAAGCAAGTGCCAGTAAAAAGGCCTACAGGTGAGTCTGCTCATATACAGGTTAGGGTGGTACATATTCAAAGTTCTTTCTCTGTTTTTTTCTTCTTCATTTTGAAACCCTCTTATTGGATTTTCTATACAATATTTGTTCCAAAGTCTTCCACCATAATTTTGTTCAAACAACCTCAATATGCAAATAAATGATGGAGCAGTAGGAGTAGTGCACTGTAATAGGATATTATTATAGCATTTTAAATTCTGCCCTGATATTTTTCCTATTGCTTTGTCACATTCTTTTGTTGAAATTGTATATATTTTGTTCAGGAGGGGAATGAGAGAAGCCCTTTGTCCAAAATGAGCTGAATTTTTTTCTAAGTTGTTCTTATGGTCATGTTTGAAATGAGGGTTTGGAACCCTGTGGATTTTAGTTATCCATGTCCTCTCTGCCTTGTTTCCAGATAATTAAGAACTAGTTAATATAAAGTAAATGGCTCCTCGTAAAATGTGAGTGTTTAGTGTCTTTTATTTTACAGTAAGGGACTAATATTTCTTTTACACATCTTTGGTTTTATCTGATGTATTATGAAAGAGGAGATAGAGGACACAAGTATTAATGCCAAAGGAAACAAGATTTCATTAAAGGGTGTCCTGGATTAATGGAAAATATCATATTGCTTTATTCTTTGCAAAGAGGGGTTTGCAGTTAGATTTTTTCACAACATATTGGCTACTTAGCCTTCTTTTTGACATCGGTTTGGTTTGCCTTTATATATTTAGAGTATAGCATCTTATATTTGACCTTTGAGCTTCTCAAATTGAAAAATATGTGCTCATCGTTAACTGCTCTGGGTAGCTTGATAGGGTGATAAATATCTTCTTCCATCTTGATGATTTCCAAGATTACTGTGGAACCATGATTATCGAAGGAGAGGAAGCTCCAGTTGCCTACACGTTGGATGATACCAAACCTGATGGCAACTATGCAGCCATAATGGGGTAAGGCACAGTTATGGTGGTGTGAATGCTATTTGGTATTGACAATGCAGTCCCATACTATTAATAAATGTGCCCCAAACTTTTTTAGAAATAATTTTTACCCAATGGCACTATTCCCCAAGTCCAGCAGTAGAAAAATTATTTTTTAAAAAATAATTTCTTCCAATGAATAAATATTTAGAATGGAATTAGAACATCGATAACATTTTAAAATTCGTTATATTAATTTTCTGCTTCATAGTAAGTGCTGAGTGTTGGGATATATGTTGGTAAGCTGTCTTTTGTGAAAGCATGATATGAAGAAGTGACTTAGAGTGTTTTACTAAGGGGGCTTCTTGTGGAGGCTTGCAAAGACATCAGTGGCATTTTTGTGGAATGCTGAGATTTTTCCAGTCCTACTAGAGAAGAGCCAAGACCAGTCCAGTCTTCAGTTTGGCAAGGAAGACCAACCAGCACATTTGGGGAATATTGTGGGGGACAGAACCTCTCCCAGAGAGATGATCACCTGGAGCAGCCAAAATTAAGATGAGCCTTAGGATATGTATAAGTTTATTTCAGAGAGAGCCAAGGGTCAGAAGGGGGAGATCAAAGCCAGTTTTATGAAGTCGAAGGCAAACATAGAGCTAGAAATGGAGATGCATCCTAGAAGGCTGGATACTAGGGAGACAACATCGTGAAGATAGAACCAAAGGGCAAAGACTGGATGAAGCTGGAAAGGCTCAGACACACCTTAGATGGGCATTTGAAAGCCAGGGCTCATTCCTATTAGCCACCAGCCATGTAGTGGGAGGTGGGTCAGTCACAGAAATTATGGCCATCTGTCTTTAGTCCCTTGAATCCCTAAAGGTGGAAGGTACCTTTTAGTGTCAGGAATGTAATACATAAATAGTAAAACATTGAAGATAAAATAAGCTAGTATATAATTTGTTTCTTTGGGTTGACTTTTAATTTGTTTACTAGGCACCAGTAATTTACCCCATTTTTCTTGTTTGTATGTTTTAGATTTATCCTTGCCAACAAAGCCAGAAAACTGTCTCGTCTTACCAAAGAAGAAAGGTAAGGAAAAAGTGCCTCTGTTTTCTTCTCTCACCCCCTCCCTCCCTTACTTTCTTCCTCTACCTCTCTTCCTTCTTGTCTCCTCCCCATCCCTTTCCCCTTCTTCCCTTCTTTTCCTTCTTCTTACTTTTCTGCCTACTGGCTTGCCTTTCAATTTTACTTAGTTTTCAACTTAAATACTGCCTAATAATATGTGTGTGCCCAATACTACATGTATGTTATATTAATTATAAGGGTCTTGTATAAAGGCACCATGCTTATAACTTAAGAATCAAGTATTTAAATTAATATCTATTGAGTTTATTGTACATAAGATACCATGAAAAGAGCTATAGAAAATACAAAATACACATACCAACCACCTGTATCAAAAATGGATATAGCTCAGGAGCTGAAAATTTACTTGGGGAGGAGTGCATTTCTAATAATTTCCTGGGTGATGCTGCTGCTGGGACCACACACTGTTTTACATCATTAATGAAAAATCATGTGAGTTTATTGGTAAAACTAACTCTGAAAACTTAAATAATCTGCTCCAAACCTTATAATACATAAGATGCAGAAGCAGAATTCAAAGCCTTTTCTGCTCCCTCCTTTCCCACTCTGCCCATTGCTTTGTAGTTGGATAGGAGGAGGAACGGGGAGAGCAATGGTCAGGTCTGGATCCTCCCAGAATCTTCAGTGCTTAGCAGATTGACTGATACATAAGAGGTACACAATGAATTTTTGAATGAATGAACAAATTGCCATGTGCCTGCAGTGCTTCAGGCAATACATCGCTTTATTTTCATTACTTATGACCTCATAGATTTAAGACACTTCAGATAGAATGAGATGCCTTGTTTTGAAAATTTAAAATAAAATGTCAAGTGAAAGCAATGTCTTACAGAGTCTTTTTAAATGAGGGAATAGGTGCCTCTTTTACTTCCTTCCTTCATTTTTACTTTTGTCTACCCCCACCCTCCTCCTCCCATAGGTTGAATAGACTTTGTGAGCTCTATGCAAAAGTTCTGGGCTCCCAAGAAGCTTTGCAGGTAAGGCTGCTTCCCATTCCTTCCATATGGGTTAAAGCTCTTGCTTTGTCCTCAAGGGGCTAGTAGGGATAGGCTCATAAGTAGGGCCTTAGAGCTCATGTTTTCCCTGATATATTCTCAGAGGGGCCTGCACAGGGCTGGTCAACTTTTAAGTTGTCTCAAAGAATATGGGCCCTGACTGGTCTGGTAGCAGCTCAGGAACTCTGCAACACTGCTGTGCTACACTTGTTCTTGAGTTCAGAGCCCTTCCTGGAGAAGGGTATTGAGCCACTCTGCTCTCAGCTCTGTCAGGGTATAAAAGAGGGGAGCTTCTGCTACCCCTACTGAGCTCCTACACCCTAGCAGCCAGGATTCGGATGAAAAGAGTTTTGTCTTTCTCTGTTGATTTGTAAAGAAACCAGAGTCTCATTTGTATATATAAACTAGCATATAAGCACTTCTTCACACCCAACCTATCCCCACTGTCTTGCAAGCAAAATTAGGGTTGCCTGCTCCACTTCTGAACATCCCTTTTTGCCCTGTTTTACCTTTGAATATTAGAGGTTCAGGGAAGACATGCTGATTGATTCAAAGTCAGCCTTGTCAGCTGAGTTTCCTAGACATTTTTGGAAGTAGCCTGAGGAAACTGATCTTCTAGTTAAACTAGTAGTACCTTGCAGATGATCAAAGGAGGGGTGAGGCTGGGGTAGGGAGGCAGTGTGGTAGGATATTTCGTGACAGTCTCAGGGCCCAATATGCTCATCATAACCAATAGCAATAACTGTCTCCCTTATCTTTTTTTTTTTTTTTTTTTAAAAATGAGTTGGTGTTCTCATTACATTTACCAGACTGCTGGGTTTTTAATGTTTTGATGTGGATTAAGTCATCTTTTGAAAGTGATTATTCAATCCAGTTATCCATGAAACATTTGAAGGCAATGGAGACTGATGTATAAATGAACAGTTAAAGTGTGAGAAAAATCTAATGAGGCAACTAAGAATATTAAGCGTTTTAAATCCACATTTCTGTAGTGCACACCTAGTTGAGCAACTACATGGCTTAATCTTATTATTCTAACACTTATCTTGCTCAACTACACAGTACTTGCTTCTTCTAGTCAAATTGTTGTGGCTTTTGAATTTGTATTGTTTATTCATTCTTTTAAAGCATAAATTTTTTCCTGTACTTGATATAGGTGAAAACATGTGCTCTTAAGGATTTCTGGAGTTCTTTTTTGGCAAATGAACAAGAATAATTAATTGATCGGTTTGGAGAAAAACAATAATAACGAGGAATGTATTTTGCTTAATTTTTTGCTTTCATATACCATTTAGCAAGTTTAAATATAAACATAGCCTCTAGGCTCAAGGGTACTGTGAGTGAAGTAATAAAACCAAATATATATATATATCTGCCATATATGAAATGAGTATAAAATGAGTATATACACACACACACACACACACACACACACACACACACATACTATATGTTAACATATATATGGCAGTCTCTTTTTCTAAGATGGATGTGGGTGATTAATTGCTGATGATAAAAAAGAGCTGGTCCTGTCCTTGATTTCTCTTGGCATAGAGAGGGGCATTTGCTTTACTCTTTCTTTGTTGTCTGTTGTGTGGAAAGAAGCAAGTCTTAGGAAGTGAAAGTTGAAGTCCATCCTTCCTTCTGATTGGCAGGAAACAGCCAGAGAAGGGTGCTCATGAGGTGGTTGTCACTCTCAGATGAAGAGAAGAAAGAGGGCTGGTTAGGAGAGTGGGGACACCACTAGAGGCCTGGAGCAACTTACACTCCTCAGGCAAGGTCTAGTGCTTTGTAAATAGGATGTGTTACAAATGACTATCCAAAGTCCTATATGCGACTGCATATTTTTTAAACAAAACATTTTTAAAAAATCTATTTTTAAACTAACATTTTTATTTTAAAACTTGCCATGTTGACTTTATCTTTTCAAAATCATGTTTAATAATGACACTCATGTTTAATTATTTAAAAATAAAGAGCTCAAGGTTTGCAAAATCTCCTCTAAGTGTAATGCATGTTCATGGCAAAAATATATTTTTCAGACCAATAGTTTCGTACAAGTATCACCAACAGAATTGCCTACATCCCATGAAAACATCAATTCACCTGTCTAGCTTCCCTCAACAAAACTTAATTCCACCAGAAACATGAATCTGGTCAACCCTTTCCCTTGACAGACTTATTTTTCTGCTTTTCTCTGCTCCAACTACTCCAGAAGCATAAATAGTTTTTTAAACTTGTCTTGAAATCATTAGGCACTAAAACTTATTAATAGTTAAGACTAATTTAAAAATAGAACTAGACAACTGCAGTTTATTAACAGTATCTGAGACATGAATGAACCAACTGAGAAAACTTTCTGAAGTCAGAACTTCTTAAAGTTTATTACCAAGGACATTTATTTACTTGCACAAAGATATATCTCTAAAAACATCAGGATAATAAGGCTCTACTTCAGACATATAATGGTTCTTCAATATGAAGTCTACTGAACTGTGTTTGATTTATTCTAGATTAGATAGTTTCTTTTGAGTCTCCTTCAAGCTTTTGTCACTTTGCCTTGCAGCCGGTGCACTATGAAGAGAAGAACTGGTGCGAAGAACAGTACTCAGGAGGTTGCTACACAACCTACTTCCCCCCAGGAATCATGACTCAATATGGAAGGTAGAGTAAAAGTGTGCTAAGCTCTAATTGAAATGCCCTGAACCTGAATCCAAACTCTAAACAGGTTCATATAGCTCTTCTGTTTCTTTGAAATCATTTTAAAATCTCTACTTTCCTCTGCATCATGTGAATCTTGTGAATGAAGTCATAATTCTGCATCATAGAGGTGTCTTTGCTCTTAATTTATTTGATGGAGCAATCCCAATCAATATAACCAAAGAAGGTTGCAGCATCAAAATAAGAATTTAGATAGTCAGAGAGTTCACTTACATTGTCAGAAGAAATGTCTTTATACTGAGTTTAGAGCTCAGAAAAACTTCCTCAAATGGAACTATATAAGCGTCAACATGGGTATAGCATTATAAAAACAAAATGAGTTCTAGCAATAGCAAACTTTGTCATCCTGAATAGGTCACCTCACTACTCTGAACCTCACTTTCCTTAGTAGGTGTATGAGAAAGCACCAGATAGACAATACAATAGACAATCATCAGTAAGTTACTAATCAGTGTGTTATTTTTTTAACATCTTTATTGAGATATAATTCACATACCATACAGTTCACCCAAAGTGCATATTTCAACGTTTTTTAGCATTAACAGTATTGTGCACCCAAGTATCACTCATTGGTGCTAGTTAATTGCATTTGATGACAACAGGTGTGAATTAATGATATAATAGTAATTATTATGACTATGAGAGTAATACTAAACCAAGCAATAATTTAATGCCAAGATCTCAATCTAAATAAAATAAGAAATGTAGAGTAGTGAATGAAAGGCTGTCAAGAGTGTAATTAAAAGAGAATGTGAATAAATGTAAATGACTAATCAATCTGTCCATGAAAACTGGTCAAAGAAGGATTAAAACTTACCTGTGAGAAGATACATAATAACTTTGGTTAGCACTTTTATCATCTACCTGAAGATGGCAAAATATCATCTATGAGAACATTCTGGGGTCAAAGGACACCAGCTGATTAGCTACTGGGTCATTAAGTTAATTTTTGGATATGGTGAGTATAGAATATGTCAATAGTAATGGTTTCATTCAGCATTTATTGGCTAAGTACCAACCATTTGCCAAGCTTTGTGCTCAGATCTTTGATACCAAGTAAAGCCCTCTCTGTTGTGAAGGAGCTGACAGTGTTAGGGGCTGGGACGGGCATGGGGAGAGAAGAGAACATCAAACGACGACTCTAATGCACAGTGGTAAGTACTCTAATAGAGAGGCATAAAAATACCATGGGGATCCAGGGAGGGACAGGCTAGTCTTAGAGAAATCTAAAAAGGCTTCATAATACCTATACTACCAGAAGATTGTAGAGGGCAGAGAAAGGCTATTGGGTAATGCACTCTAGGCAGATGGAACTGTATGAGCAAATGTTTAAAACTCTACAAGTTCATGGAATGTCAGAGGAAAAGTTCTGCATGGGCTCTGGGTGATACTGAGGATGGAATGGAGAATCATAAAGGTGGATAGGATTCTTTGCCTCATATAGCTCATTCAGGAATATAAAATTTAACTGTTCAACAGAGAAAAGCCAATCAGAGCATCACTTTTGTTTTTGGCTTGTGATGTGATTAGATTTCTGACTATGAAGTGGTCAATCCCATAACCTGTGTTAGGAAAATGCCTTTAGGAAGTGGAGTGTGGGAAGAAAAAGGACACTCGCCTGCACTGGCCTGACCCTGACCATAGGAGAGAAGATAAATTCCATTGTAGAAGGCATTGATGGTGACATGGTACTGCCCCTTTTCATCTTTATTCCTTCCCAGGGACATGTGTCAGGCTTCATAGCATTAGCTTCAATTTGTAAGGGAATTTGTATGGAAACTAAAGCACAGCATATCTTAGTGACATAACTCTCAGCCTGAGCAAGGATTACCTGCCCACAGGGCTTCCTTTCACCCTCCAGGTCCATGACATTAGGGATACTGCAAGGAGTTTTATCTTCATGGCCCTGGAAGTACACAGAAAATGCTCCACTTCCAGATGGAAGACAGAGGACAGTATTGACAGTACAACTTTAGTATAGAATAAATACACATTTCTTAATGAATTTTACTTCTAGATAGACTGAAAAACTGTAACTATTAAGCAGAAAAACACATAAGGAGATATTTTACTCTACCAAGCCATGAGAAAATATACATGGAAATACCCTTTTTCGTGAATGTATACTGTCTATTTACTCACCTGTAAAGGAAGAAGCCAGGATTTTCCTTCTCTAGCTGTTAGACTTCTTTTCCTAAGGGAAAATTTCCACACGGTAAGTGGAGAAAATATATCTTTTGGTTTGAAATTAATTCTTACATTTTGCATTTTTACACTTCAATTGTTAGCATGATTAATTCTCTAAGCCTTTATTCTCTCTTCCAATATTTAATTCTAGGATTTGGCCAGGCCTCCTAGAGATTTCCCAGAGGTTAGTTCCCTGTTTGAAAAAAAGAGAACATATTGTGAAAACAGCATTGTTTAATGAACATGGAAAAAGCAAATTTACCTTCTTTTGCAGGGCACCCTTCCTGAATACCCTTAGGCTCTCCAGCCCACACTGGCTATGGATCGCTCCAGATTATTCCAAGTATTATCATCAGTATTCTAATATTCTATAATATTTTCTCTCCTATTACCTATTCCTTTTCTTCTTTATGGCTACAATAAGGGCCCATGAAGGAAAACCCACCAATTCAAGCCAGCCTGTTTGGTTTTCTGATAAAAGGCTCGGTGGTGTACAGCATTGACTTAGAAAGCATGAAATGCTAGCTCTGGACATCCACATCCCTTACCTGTATAATGGAAACCTGGGATAGGTATGGCATGCTTCCTTATGACACTTTTGTCAGGGTAACAACAAACTGCCCCTCTTAGAAGCCAAGTGCTGTGACACTTCTGCCCCTTTGTGTAGCATATGGGCATTCTTTGTTAACTAGTGATGACAATATACTAGGCAAATCATAGAGGATAAAAACAGAGACCTTGACAAATGGTAGATCTAGTTCAAATCCTAGTTCTGCTATTTTCTAGCAGTGTGACTCTTGGAAAGTAACTGCACATTTCTCCTAACCTCTGTTTCTTTGTATATAAAATGAGATAACGGTACTAGTAGCTATGTAATAGAGTTCTTTGAAAATATTAAAGAAATAATTCAATAGAAAGAAGTATAACCAAGTTGTTAAGATCGTGGGCTCTGGAGTCAGATGGCCTTGGTTCAAATACCACTTCTGTCACTCACTAACTGTGATCTAGAGCAAATTACTTTGTCTTTGTTGCTGCTTAGGTTCTCCAGGAAGCAGACTCTGAAACAAAGATTAGTACATACAGAATATGTACTAAGGAGATTCCTTGGTATCAATACTTGTGAGAGAGGAAGGAAGCAGAGGAGGGCAGAGAGAGAAGTTGGGCTGGGATGCAATTCCAATGAAAGCCTCGGCTGTTCTCATAGATTTCTCTGGAGCTAGGATGACCCTTAAGAGTTGTTCCAAGTGAGGCAAAGGAGTCAGGTCATTATAGCCCCATGATGATCAGTCATTAGATGCACTGCTGCTGGAAGGAGGCATGATTTTGTGCAAGGCAATTTTAATTTTCTTCAGCAGAAGCAATCTCCAATGAGGACTGACATCAGAAAACCATGTTCTGGCAGCACTTCCACCAGCTAAAAATAAGTTCTTCATTCTTGAAGGAGGCTCCGAACAGTGCATCACAATATCCACCTCAGTCTCTCTACCTCTATATATGCTCATCTACAAAATGGGGATAATAATAGTACCAACCTCATAGGTATATGGTGAGGATTAATAAACTTAGAAGAGTGCTTGGCACCCAACAGATGTTAACTGTCGTAATTTAATGCAGTAAAACACTTTTTTCCCCCGTTTTTTCAGGACTAATTGTTTCTTTTTTTAATTTTTTAATTTTTTTATGCTTTTATGCTGACATTGCATTAATAAACTTAGAAGAGTGCTTGGCACCCAACAGATGTTAACTGTCGTAATTTAATGCAGTAAAACACTTTTTTCCCCCGTTTTTTCAGGACTAATTGTTTCTTTTTTTAATTTTTTAATTTTTTTATGCTTTTATGCTGACATTGCTTAACGAAATCCAATGTTTCAACTGTACACTTTAACAGTAAGGCATATATATGTGTATATTGTGTGTTCACCTCCCATAGTTAGATTTCTTTCTGTCACAACATATTTGACCCCCTTTACCTCATCTATCTCCCCCCTGAGATGTCTATTACACAACCAAGTGGAACTGTTGTTTGGGTAGTTTGATACTTGAGTTTAATGCTCAGAGAGAAAATCAAGATTAGAGGTATCAGTTTGGGAGTCACCAATACATAGGTGACTGATAAAACCTATGGTGACTGATGGGACTATGCAGATTCACAGCGTCTTATATCTAAATCTGGTTATTATACTTGCCTTGTTTCTTCAGACTGTTTTTTTTTCTTGCCTTGTC